CTAACTTTTGTTGACATATTATAAGAATGTCTAATCTGTAATTTGATGCCTTTTGGAGATTTTTCCATCTTTCCTTGGCTTCTTTATGCACATTAATACAAATTTTTAGCTGGGGTGCCCAAACTTTCCATCCCCACTGTATATGTACAGTATATCCTTATCAAACCCAATACTCCCTGTACTGGCCAATCAAAATATAACTCCTCTTTACACACATATTCTGTAACCTCACACTTCCTCTACTACCAATACCAAATAATACTACATATTCAGACACATAATAATCGAAGCACATTAGTGAGTACAGACTGGTTTGAGAGATCCTAGTAGACCGGGACTGGCCATAGGGCGTGGTCCCCCGGGCTGCATGTCTTAACAAGAACTGGCTGTTCCATCCAGGCATGCACTGCCAATCAGGGTCGGACTGACCATTTGGAAACTCGGGCACTGCCTGAGGGCCTGGGGTCAGTAGGGGGCCCCATGAGATGCCCCTGGTACCTTTTTCATCGGCTTTTTTGAGTTTGGGCAAGGACACAGGGGCCCCATGATCCCCTATTGCCCAGGGGTCCCATGAGTTGTCAGTCCGCCCCTGCTGCCAACACTTGCCACATATGATCGGTGGTGGTGGGAGGAGCGGAAAGAGTCTCTCCATTCCCCCGTCCACCAAGCTGCTCCCTGACAACCGATAGTCCCAGTTCGCGCATGCGCCCCCACAGCCACCGGTCACCTGACAACCAGGAGTGAAGGAGGGATGGAGAAGCCTAGGCCTTCCACACATGAAATCCGGCGAGGTGCTATGGCCGCATATAAGGAAAGCATTGCGGCTGGTGTACGCCCACCTCTCTTCTTGCCCACTTTTTTTTCCCACTGGTAAAGGGCTTGGATCAGGGGCAGACTGACAACTCATGGGTCCCCGAGCAATAGGGGATCATGGGGCCCTTGTGTCCTTGCCCACACTCAAATCACACCCAAAAAAGCCTATGAAAGGTACCAGGTGTCACGGCACCAAACTAGGGATGCCTACCCTGTGGTTGACCCCCCACCATCTGTCACTCAGGAAGGGAGGGGGTAGGGAGTGAATGATCGAGGAATACCTCAAACAAAAAGGAAAAGGGGAACTCCGCGTCCAACTCTGATGAGCAGGTTTGCTACACCAGGGACATCTCATGGGGCCCCGTACTGACCCTGGGCTCTCAGGCAGGAGGGCCGGAATGGTCAGTCCACCCCGGGTTTGATCTGATTCTCCAGGGCCAGATACTCCTTTTTTAAATGGTAATTATGCACTTTTTTCTCCTCTGTAAGGGCAGCCTTCTAATTAACAGGCTCATGGCCAGGCGTTCTATTCAGCGTGCACCTGCTATGTGCCTGGCTCAAGCTGAGGGGGGACTACCCAGGAATGTTGACTGTAGATACCAGGGGCGGACTGACAACTCATGGGGCCCCCAGGCTATAGGGGATCATGGGGCCCCTGTGTCCTTGCCCAAACTCAAAAAAGCTTATGAAAAAGGTACCAGGGGCATCTCATGGGGCCCCCCTACTGACCCCGGGCCCTCGGGCAGTGCCCGATTTCCAATGGTCAGTCCGCTCTGGTAAATACATATTTCAAAGGTTTATAGGCACTACTAAAAGCAATACTCAAAAAGCCAGTTATAAAACATTTCTCAAAGAGCCAGTGGTAGAGGAAGTTTGCTTTACAATTGGCTTTGTAAGCACTACTTCAGAGGTTTTAAAAGGGAACTGCACTTTATAACAGGGTTTAGTAAAAACCTTTTCTAAAGTAGCATCCAAACCCTGTTCTAAGGCTGCGGCGCGTCCAGAAAGTATTCACAGCGCTTAACTTTCGCCACTTTTTGTTCAGTTTCAGCCTTATTCCAAAATTAGATGAAATTCATTTTTTTCCTCTACATTCTACAAACAATACCCCATAATGACAACATGAAAGAAGTTCGTATTGAAATCTTTGCAATTTATTAAAAATAAAAAACGAAGAAAAGCCCATGTATATAAATATTCCCAGCCTTTGCTCAATACTTTGTTGAAGCCCCTTTAGCACCAATTCCAGCCTCGAGTCGTTCTGAGTATGATGCTACAAGCTTGGCACACCTATTTTTGGGCGATTTCTCCCATTCTTCTTTGCAGGACCTCTCAAGCTCCATCAGGTTGGATGGGGAGTGTTGGGGCACAGCCATTTTCAGATCTCTCCAGAGATGTTCAATCAGGTTCAAGTCTGGGCTCTGGCTGGACCACTCCAGGACATTCCCAGAGTCGGCCCATAGCCACTCCTTTGTTATGTGGGCTGTGTGCTTAGGGTTGTTGTCCTGTTGAAAGATAAACCATCACCCCAGTCTAAGGTCCAGAGCGCTCTGGAACAGGATTTCATCAAGGATGTCTCTGTACATTGCTGCATTCATCTTTCCTTCGATCCTGACTGGTCTGGGCTGAAAAACATCCCCACAGCATGATGCTGCCACCACCATGCTTCACTGTAGGGATGGTATTGGCCAGGTGGTGAGCAGTGCCTGGCTTCCTCCAAACATGACGCTTGGCATTCGGACCAAAAGAGTTCAATCTTTGTTTTATCAGACCAGAGAGTTTTGTTTCTCATGATCTGAGAATCCCTCAGGTGCCTTTTGGCAAACTCCAGGCGGGCTGCCATTTGCCTTTTACTGAGGAGTGGCTTCCGTCTGGCCACTCTACCATACAGGCCTGATTGGTGGAGTGCTGCAGAGATGGTTGTTCTTCTGGAAGGTTCTTCTCTCTCTCCACAGAGAAATGCTGAGCTCTTTCAGAGTGACCATCGAGTGCTTGGTTACCTCCCTGGCTAAGGCCCTTCTCCCTCGGTTGCTCATTTTGGCCGGGCGGGCAGCCCGCTCTAGGAAGATTCCTGGTGGTTCCAAACTTCATCCATTTACGGATGACGGAGGCCACTGTGCTCCTTGGGACCTTCAATGCTGCAGAACATTTTCTGTACCCTTCCCCAAATCTGTGCCTTGATACAATCCTGTCTCGGAGGTCTATGGACATCTTGGACGGGTTTGTGCAATTCCTTGGACTTCTTGGCTTGGTTTGTGTCCAATCAACTGACATCCCACACTCTTACCTGTGGGACCAATCAACTATAGTCAGGTTTATGCCTTTCCTAATCATGTCCCAATCAACTGAATTCCCGCAGGTGGACTCCAATCCACTGAATGTCCCACAGGTGGGCTCCAATCCACTGAATGTCCCACAGGTGGACTCCAATCCACTAAATGTCCCGCAGGTCCCGCAGGTGGATTCCAATCAAGTTGTGGAAACATCTCAAGGATGATCAGTGGGAACAGGATGCCCCAGAGCTCAATTTTGAGAGTCATGACAAAGGCTGTGAATACTTATGTACATGGGGGTTTTTTTTTTTTCCGTTTTTTATTTTTAATAAATTGCAAAGATTTCAAAACGAATTTCTTTCACGTTGTCATTATGGGGTATTTTTTTGTAGAATGTTGAGGAAAAAAATTAATTTAATCCATTTTAAAATAAGGCTGTAACATAACAATGTGGCGAAAGTTAAGCGCTGGGAATACTTTCTGGATGCGCTGTACATTCGCATGAGTGTTTTGGCACAATGCAAATGTCCGGGGCAGGAATTTGCTGATTACTACTGCTGTTTTGGTACCAGTGAGTGGCTAGCTTCCTTTTTTGTGTTCAGAAGGTGCAGTCCCGTCACCAACCAACCTGTGTCCAACCCCCCCCCCTGGGCTGCTCACTCTAAAATGCCCTAGCCTATTTTTTGTCCCAGTCTGGGCCTGGATCCTAGGGACTGTGTGCCGCTCCCTTTTGTGCTAAAGTCAGTGTGGTTAGAGGGCCCATTGTGGCTGGTGTCCTGAGGAGCTCAGTCTTTTTCTTAGTGGAAGGACTCTGCTCAGATTTCTAAGAGAAGATTAATATCCTCAGGTTGCTACTACAAAGCTCAGTCCGTCATTTACTTATGCGAGGACTCACCATTCTAAAAGAGAGAATTTAGTGTCCTCAAATTGCTACTAAAGGTTACTGGAGTATCATTAAAGCATCAAAAAGCATACCCCTAGACTGGTTAATGAGTCTAAAGCGTGATTAGAATTGTATGCCTGACTGTGGGGCAATTACTGGGAGAAGAACCCTGGGTATTTATCCAGCAGCTCCTCCGGGGGTAGCTCTTCACATATATGTACAGTACTTGCAGGCCGCTAATCATGCCTGGGCAGGGCCAGTCAGGAGAATTGTCTCTTGGTTGGCCATGGTCCCAGGGAGGAGAGACCAGCACTGAATCCCAGGAGAGATAAGTGTGACATTAACTTCAGAAAAGCTGTGATTTGTTTTTTTTTTACTGTTTATACAGGAGTGCATCCTTTGGTCCAGTCTCATGACATCACAGGTTCTCTTTCTAGCCTCCTTTCTATAGTGATGGGTGGGTCCTGAATGCTGCATAGAACAGCTCAACATCAATACACTGGGCCGTTCTCTGCACAGTTTCCCTGTGAGCCCAGGATGACTCCATGATGTACCCCCAGGGGGCATTTCCAGGATGATCTGGACTCACAAGAAGTTATGGGCATCATTCAACCAGGAAGAACACCGGCACTGGACCTTGGAACAGTGTGTAGGACATTGCTGAAAAGGAGGTAAGTATTACAGTGAAAGCTTCTTTTTGTTTAAATAACTGCTGGCCATTTTTTTTCCCTTTTTTCCCCCTTGATTTGGCCTTTAGGACAATCATAATGGATGTCCTTGTGGTCATTACAATGTATTTGTTTAATCCCAAGTCAAACATCTCAAAGAAGACAGCTGTAAGGTCAGAAATGTCCTTTCATGTGCCTAATGTGTTCCTCTCCTGTCATAGGACAAGATGCAGCTTTTGTGACCATAAACAAGACATGGCGGTGACCAACGGCACATCATGCGGCAATATCAGTGAATTCACCCTCAGCGGTATACCAGACTTGGAGAACTATAATTTCTGGCTGGGTTTTCTCACTGCAGTAATGTATGTTGTGGCTGTCCTGGGCAATTCTACTATTCTCTACATCATTAAGGTGGACCAAGGACTTCATGGCCCAATGTATATCTTCCTCTTCCTACTAGCAATTGTGGATATCTTAATAGCCACCACAGTCATGCCTCAGATGTTGGGGGTCTTCTGGTTTAATCGGCGGCGGATTGCTTTCAACATGTGTCTGGCTCAGATGTTCTTCATCCCTTTCCTATCCACCCTGGATTCTGGGATACTGATGGCCATGGCTGTAGACCGATATGTGGCCATTTGCCACCCACTTCGATATTCTTCCATTTTAACTAACCGAAACATTTCAAAGTTCTCCTTGTTCATACTAGCAAGGGGGGCAGCTGGGATAACCCCTTTTCCATTGCTTATTAAGAGGCTTCCCTCGTTTCGGAGAAATTTGCTGACACATTCTTACTGCCTCCATCAAGAGGTCATGAAGTTGTCCTGCGTGGACATAAAGGTCAACGTCATCTACGGCCTGTTTATCATTCTCTATACCATGGGCATGGACTCTCTGTTCATCTCCATCTCGTACCTCCTGATCATAAAGACGGCGGTGTGTCTTTTGGCCGAAGCCAGTCTGAAGGCTATCAGTACCTGTGCCGCCCATGTATGTGCCGTCCTTATCTACTACATCCCCCTCATCGGCCTTTCTGTGGTGCACCGGTACCCAAGTGACTCATCCCCAAACATTCACATCCTTTTTGGAAATATTTACCTCCTTCTGCCCCCAGTCATCAACCCCTTGCTTTATGGCATTAAAACCAAGCAGATTCGAAACAGGCTTAGTAAATCGCTCGGTAAATTAATAAGTCAAAGTAAAATGTGGTAAGGTGTAAGACTCATGACAGGAACACGAAAATACGGGGAAAGTTTTTTAATAAAAGTTTTCGTGAAATGAAACAAGACAGGGGGGTCTAATTTTAGTCGTTTTGACAGAGTGGGGAAGGGTTATACCAGGGGTGGACTGATCATTCGAGCACTCGGGTACTGCCCGAGGGCCCGGGGTCAGTAGGGAGCCCCATGAAATTCCCCTGGTACCTTTTATAGGCTTTTTTGGGTGTTGTTTGAGTGTGGGCAAGGACACAGGGGCCCCATGATCCCCTATTGCCTGGGGGCCCCATGAGTTGTCAGTCCACCCTTGGGTTAGACCCTCTAGTTAGAATTAATTGGCTCATAAAATCAGCCTCTGAAGCTCTTTTGAATCACAGGAGTGCACGTCCAGCTCTGCAGGGATCTTGACAATAATGTCAGGATCCTTTCAGACCAGCAGCTGGCTTGACCTTGCAGTGCAACCTCGAGATCCTGAGTCAACCACTCCCGCTTCCTCCACAGTCCAGCACTCCAATGAGTGCTGGAAGGGCAGAGCACAGAGAGGTGACTGACACTCACACTTTGTGCTCAGGGCAGACAGAGAACTGAGTGATCAGTGGTCTTTGATCACTCAGTTTCCAGTGTAGATCCATAGGGGGAGAGCAGCAGTTTCAGATTGATGTTGCAGCCATCTGGGTGATATGAATGTTTATTTTTTTTTATTCCTGTACTTCTCTTTTAAGGAGCGGGCTTATTCCAGAGTTGATTAATCCCTTGTCACAGAGCTAGTCTCCTCCCACCCATCCCCCGGTTCCTGCTTGCCACCCCCCCAGAATCCCCTCACTCTGCTGCCGCCAGCAATCTGCCCCCCTGCCAAGGCAGCATCCTTCTCCTCTGGCCGAACACTAAAAAGTCTGCTCCGCTGCTGTGCCTGCATGTGGATTCGCCACACATGCAGGCTCCCCTCCTCTCACCCCCCTCCCCGTCTCCACAGGCTTGGCGCGATCCCGCTCTCCCGCGCTCCATGCCCGCCAGAGACAAAGGCCGCGCTCCCTGTTCAGAGCCGGCGTCAAGGGGGGTGGGACCTGTTGCCATGGTAACCCGACGCCGAGTCTCGTGTTACCACTGCAACGAGAACATGTCAGGGTCCATATTTAATGTTGGAGCGGGCCCCCGGTCAGGTGTTTCTTGGCTGCTTCCCCTGCCGGTTTGAGCGAGGTCTCAGCTGCGGCCAACTGACCCCTCCCTCCCTCTCACTAACCTCCTCCACTGCGAACCTTCTACTGATCTCTGCCTGTGTGGATTTAACCCTCTGTGTCCTGCTCCCTGCATCCAGTGAGTGGATTTAACCCCGTGCTGCCCGGATCTCTGCCTGTGCTGGACTTAGCATCAATCTGGCCGGTACACCCCGCCGCTCTGTCCTATTGAACCCGGAGGACTATCGGCCCCCTGTTGTCCCATAGTGCCATCCCGAGAACCCTGTTGTTCTGTGGACTAGCTGCCCGATCGTCTGTAACCCTGAGAAACCCCCCGCAATAAATGCCCACATGTGCAATCTGTCTCCGTGTGCTCTCTCTTCCGTGTGCTCTCTCTTCCGTGTGCTCTCTCTCTGCGCTTCTAGTTCATCACATCCCTCTACCCATATTAACATCCAAAGCCGGCCATAGCTGGATCAAAACTTAGCCGGTTCAGCAGCCGAATTTTGACCCATGGCCACTCCTGCTCAACCGAAGTCAAACTAACATTCGACCCCTGAACAGGCCTGTTGGAAATCTTTTCCAATCAGCCTAATTTTTTTTTTTTTCGATCTTGATTAGTGTATTCTGACAGTGGAGAGTCCCCGCTGTCAGAATACAATGTCCCAGCAGGGAGGGTTCCTCCATCTTCCTCACTTGGAGGAATTCGCCAGCGGGCTGAACGAACAAAAAACATCCATCTATGGCCAGCTTCAGAGTCCAATAAAGCAGATTGAGGTGATAGTAGCCACATCAGTGACATTTTCAGGGCGTTCAGGGAATCTCCTTCTTCTCGGTCCAAGCAGCACTGATACTTTTTTATTTGCACCGCCAATTACATTTTCAGAACAGTACTCAACTGTACTCCTGTAGAGAAGCAATTTGAAGGATACATTCACCTTTCTCAACCCCTTGGCGCCGGCGCCTTCCGGGCCTTTAAGGGTTTCAGAAGCCGGGAGGCGGGGCGAGGTTTAGGGTCATGTGATCGGGAAAGGTCCCGATCGAAAGAGGAGATCGGGACCTTTCCGTGAGTACTGGGCGCCCGCTCTCAGCGCATATGTGCTTTTTTTTAATAGACCGCAAATGTGCGGCAGCTCGGCGTCTAGGCCCAGATGTCGGGAGGATGCACATTTGCGGTCGGCCAGCGCCAAGAGGTTAACGTTACGTGTTACAACCATATTCTGGGTGTAACATGTTTTGAAAGTACCGTCCTCCACTCCCCGCCGATCGCCCATTTTGATAGCTAACGAGGGATTTTCTCCCCCCTGGTAGCTGCCCACCCGGCCACGTCACGTGAATGAGGGACTACAAGCCCTGACAGTCATCTGCTGACGGCTTGTAGTTCTCAATGAACTACTAAAGCACTGTGGAGGGCTGTAGTAGTTCATGGAGTCTTTCCTTCAGTATACCAGCTTGAGCGTATGTCCCGGTCGGGCAAGCAGATATACCGGCAGATCTGCAGGAGACCTGCATGGCACCAACGATCTGCAAAATCACGTATATATGCGTGATTTTGCATTTCTTGGTAGTTGGCGCTCGGCGAGCCGCACCCCCTACCCACATTGCTGTTCGTGGCCTCAGCTGTCAATCACCGTGTGATTACTCGCCGGCACCCGGTGATCGCAGAGCATTGCTGACGGAGGGAGAGAACTGTATGTTAACGATACAATTCTCTCCCCTGTCAGCTCCTGCACATTGCTTTGTATGGCTCTGCCTAGCACAGCCATACAAAGCAGTGTGCTTACAGTTGAAAGCACTACACAGCACACAGTTGACCCCTTTGATCCGCCCCCTTCCTGCCCAGTGCCATAAGTACGGTGTCAGTGCTTTTTATTAGCACCGATCACTGTATTGGTGTCTCTCTCAAAATTGTCGCCCCGAACTACATAACCGACCTGATACCCAAATACCACCCAACCCGTGCCCCTCCGCTCCTCACAGGACCTCCTACTCTCTAGCTCACTTGTCTCCTCCTCCCATGCCCGATTGCAGGACTTCTCCAGGACTTCCCCATCCTCTGGAAACTCCCTACCCCAATCCATCAGACTGTCACCTACCCTCCTTACCTTCAGGCGCACCCTGAAAATCCTCCTCTTCAGGGAAGCCTACCCCAACCTCACCTAACACCCGACCTCACCTAACAACTAACCTCCTCCACTCCACCCACCACTCCATCCCCCACAGCCATCTCCTCCTGTACCACCTTCCCCTCCCTCCTAGATTGTAAGCTCGAAAGAGCAGGGCCCTCAAACCCCTTGTGTATTGTATTGTTACTGTCTTGTCTCATGTTCTGTCCCCCCTTGCTACTGTACAGCGCTGAGCATACCCTTTGGCGATATATAAATACTGTATAATAATAATAATAATAATGGTATTCTCCTATGTATACAAATTATTTATAGTATTAATATTTAATTTCATTAATTATGAATAATTATTTATTGTAAGTACAATATACTTTGAAATGATTTGACATTTTGCATCTAATTTTAAAAAAACCCAAATTTTCTGTAGTAGGATGATGGTATTTACCTATGTATATAAACTAGCATCATTTATTAAAAGTTCATTATTAAATATGAATAATAATTATTTATTTATATTATAGTTATATATATATATATATATATGTATACACACATGCAGGACCCTCACTTTCTTTCTGTACTGAAATGTATTGTAATTGTACTGTCTCCCTTATATTGTAAAGCGCTGCGCAAACTGTTGGCGCTATATAAATCCTGCATAATAATAATAATAATAATATATATATATTAAAAAATATATATATATATATATATATATATATATATACTGTGTGTGTGTGTATTTATATGATGTGTACACACACATTTTATATAATATATACATACATTTTATATATATATATTTTGACATTATGATTATAACCCAAACTGGTTAAAAGCGGTGCCACATCCCAATTATAGTCATGAAGAAACAGCAAAAAGAAGGGACTTTCAAGGCACAAAAAAAAGTACAAATGTGATTTCAAATGATTGATTTTTAGTATAAAAAAAAATTTTAAATTTCACCGTGCATATAGAAAAACATTAACCACTTCCTTCCAGTGGACACTTTCCCCCCCTTCCAGTCCGGACACTTTCCCCCCCTTCCAGTCCGGACACTTTCCCCCCCTTCCAGTCCGGACACTTCCCCCCCAGTCCGGACACTTTCACCCCCTTCCAGTCCGGACACTTTCCCCCCCTTCCAGTCCGGACACTTTCCCCCCCTTCCAGTCCGGACACTTTCCCCCCTTCCAGTCCGGACACTTCCCCCCTTCCAGTCCGGACACTTTCCCCCCCTTCCAGTCCGGGACGCTTTCCCCCCTTCCAGTCCGGACACTTTCCCCCCTTCCAGTCCGGACACTTTCCCCCCCTTCCAGTCCGGACACTTTCCCCCCTTCCAGTCCGGACGCTTTCCCCCCCTTCCAGTCCGGACACGCTTTCCCCCCTTCCCCCCCTTCCAGTCCGGACGCTTTCCCCCCCCCCCTTCCAGTCCGGACACTTTCCCCCCCTTCCAGTCCGGACGCTTTCCCCCCTTCCAGTCCGGACGCTTTCCCCCCCCTTCCAGTCCGGACGCTTTCCCCCCCGGAACGCTTTCCAGTCCGGACGCTTTCCCCCCCTTCCAGTCCGGACGCTTTCCCCCCTTCCAGTCCGACGCTTTCCCCCCCCTTCCAGTCCGGACGCTTTCCCCCCCTTCCAGTCCGGACACTTTCCCCCCCTTCCAGTCCGGACGCTTTCCCCCCTTCCAGTCCGGACGCTTT